AAACTTTTGCCACTTTTTCAATTTTTGTTAATTATCTATTAATATTGATTAAAGAATACATTTTTTTTTCGCGAGAATTTTACAATAAAGTTAGAAATTTTAGAGACATTCTATCGGAAATATATATCGGGAAAGAATATAATTAGCAGATATTTCTTTAATTTTAACGACTTACAATTAGCGTCTTACTACTACCGCGATTTCTAGTTTTGATTTTTTGAATATACGCGATTAAGTATTATTGCTAGAATCCATCCCGTAAAAGAAAATAAATTACGCGTACGAAAAGTTTTACGTAAAAATTTTAATTACGCGTTTTACTTCACTTTAATTTAAATTTAGAATGTGTAGATATCGAATTTTTAAATATGTTTTTGACTTTGCTTTTTCGATCCGTTCCGTTTTCGATAAACAAATTTCGCAAAGAAATTGCAAACTGATGCTTCGTCAAAGTAACGGAGCAAGATACTTCGCATTGCTAAGCGGAGTGACTCTCGCAAAAGTTGCGAGACTGTTTTTGCGTAAAAAATACGCGAATATTACTATTATAATTAAAACCGCAAATTCCGTTCCGTATATAAACAAAATCAGTATTAAAACTTCGATTTTTGATAGTAAAGTTTACCTAAAATCCGCGCGACATATTTTAGAATATTTTAAAACTTATAAACTTAACTTTCGTTCTTTTTAATCACTTATTTTGATTACTTATTACTTATTTCGTTCGTTTTAATCACTTATTTTGACCTTAAACGTTTAAATTTGCAATATATTGCGTTTAGAGATTTTTTTTAAAAAGGTCTCTAGAATCTAGAAGAAATCGCTATTGATTTGAGACTTTTGACTCCGCGATATATTGCGTTTGGGGATTTTTGGAAAAGTCCCTAGAATGTGGGGAAAACTGAAAATTGAGTTTATAGTGTTTTTGGAAAAGTACCTAGAATTTAGGGGAAACTCATAAAGCTTATACTAATGGAGGCCGTGCCTATATGCTAACCATAGAGAGGGCCGCGCGAGGAGCAACAGAGAGACAGATATATTCTGTCTCAACTGTGGCTTTCCCACTCCGTGTTCTCTGTTATTCTCTTCTATAAGAAGTGCCCGCAATTGAAACAGAAAAATGTATCTCTCTTTGTCGATCCTTCTTGCGCTGCCATTCCGTGAGCGTAAGCTCTATGAAGAAACTGAAAATAATTTGAGACGTTTGAACCTGCTATATAGTTGCGTTTAGAGATTTTGAGACAAGTGTCTAGGATTTTTGGCGTAGCCTCTTTTCCTGCGGCGAAGCGTAATTCTCCCCTCCCTACGCACTTACACACGAAGAAAATGTATATTGAATCGAAAAATAAGACTTTATATATAAAAAACTTTTTTTGTTAGTAACTTTTTGAATAAACAACGAACAACGGATAAAACTTTTTGCGTGTCACTCGGAACACTGTCCTTGACAACATGTGAAGCTCGAGTTGATCGGAGGTTGGTCCGTTATTGTCAATATTTACCAAAAAATAACAAACAGTGTACTCGTGTTTAACACACTTTAACCAAACGCAGAACATCAGATTTATTTGGTATTTGACAAGCATTGTGTCAATGTTATTTATTCATATTCAAATGATGTTTCAGAAATTACATTTTCTTACAGGATTTCTTAAAATTGTCTTGTGGCTTCCCTCGACATACTGTATCGTGACGTCGGATGTTATCTACAAGAGAAAAATAATTGTTTTCTTATCTATAAACTCCGATATAATATTGACAATTCTCATATAATATAAATCATTGATTGAAATCAACTTTCGAGAAATACCTTGTGCAAACCGTAATTTTCTTCGGCTTCAGATGCCGAAGGAATTGTAGGTTTTAACGATATTACTGGAGATTTGATACGCGGTACGGTAGAAACTTCGTACTTCTTCGTGATAACTAAATGTTTATATATTGTACAATATCTTTAAATTTGCTAGCGAGAGTGTTGAATTTTATGCCGAAAAGTATTTTGTTAAAGTGTTGAATCTTTCTTCGTCGGTTTTACACTTCTCCGATGTCATCGAGTCCTGTGCGCGACATTGTCTGATCTCTACTGTCATCATAGAGTCCATCCCGAGCTCGGCCAGAGATGTGTTCTGGCTTATTCGTTTTATGTCTTTTATATCTTGTTACGTGGAATAGAAACTCGTCAAATTTTTCCAAAAATACGCTTGTAATGTTTTGCGGCGACACGTAACATCGAGTGAGAAAAACAGTGTGTATTCTTATCCGTGATAGTGACAACTGTGTGCGCTATATCCAGGTAAATCCAGGTAATCCTTGTTTCTTCTCATCCATCACCATATTGCTTATGATCGGCCGATTCTGAAGCAAAAATTGGTCGAGTTCGTCGACATGAGAGGATATCTTTTGCTGTGAGATGCTGCTGATAACCAATTTTTTGTCTTAAGAAACTTTAAATTGTCATATGTGCTGAACCAAAGTCGTCCCCCGCGAAATTTTTGTAAATAATTACTCGGAATGACTTGCCCTGCAACATATCCAAAGCGCGACGAAATCGGTGAGATTGATGTAATCTAACATGCATATTTACCTTTGCGCAAATACCACTATTTCATTTCGCCCTTTGTTTACTAAGATATCTCTGCGTTTATTTAGGAAGTAGTTTATTTCGTATCCTTTTCGGTATAGACTGAAGATGTCACATATCTTGTTCATTCTTAATGCGCTCTTTCTCTAATCGCGTACCTTGTACCTCGAGGATCTTGGATTGCGCTGAATCAAAGGTTTTCGGCTGTTGTCACTGCAGTCTTTCTGTTAAGCTATAACCGCATGGACACTAGCAATCAATTTACATATAGATAATCAAAGCGCAATTAAATTCGTTAAAACTAGAGTATTTAGTAGATAAAAAACAAACATACCCAGCAACTATACATGTCGTCACCCGAGTGCTAGAGTGTTCTATGTGAGTGTTCTCCATATGATTTTCCGTAGATTGGGTTTTATTTTTCTGCTCTTCTAGAAAAGACATGTAACATAACGTAATTTTTAGTACATTTATATTAATCATATAGCAATTTATAATTCAAGGTTTGTTTTTCAGTAAAAAAGTATACACGTTGGAATTGGGTTTTGTCATCAGACTTCAGACCCGAAAGAGTATCATCATGTGTAAAGTTTTGATCAAATTTTTCGCAGTGTTAACACGTTCGCTATACCGCGGTCTGTTCAAAAAAAAAAAAAAAAACCGTTTCCTCAGACCAAGCGTTTCTCGACCGATACTTTATACTCTATGTACTATTATGTGATCATGCCGAAATCTTTCGAAACAAACCGGCGAGTCACATATATGTGACGCGTGGGGTAGCGAACGAGTTAAATTTAAATATTCAAATACGCTATAAAAAATATACTATAAACTAGTAACATAATTATTTACTTTTAATACAAATGCATTAAATGTCCTCACCTTTAAAATTGAAGTATTCCAGAGACACTGTATTAATTTACATTGTTTTTCGTTTATTTTTTTGTGCAGATATCTCTCTTCGCAAATAAAGTATCAAAAGTAGTAACGTTATGGTAGTAAAAATATACAAACGTTATGTTGTCTCCGTATTCTGAGCAATCGAGATATCAAACTGTAAATTAAAAAATAATTTTATTATAAAATGCAAAACACTTTTTTTTATATTTATATGTAAAACTTTTCAAACTTAATCAACATGTTGCGACTTGTTTTCTATCACATAATTCCGGAATAAAGCGTGGTATCGTGCAATTTTAATCAAGAAAACGTAGCCTCGATAAATAAAGAAAAAATTACAAATTGACTTACATATTCAAAAAAAAAAAAAACATCAAACATAGACAAAATTGCATTACAAAAACGCATATTGTGTATACAGATTCTGATTGCAACGCGCTTTCTCGACATTTTTTCAAGAATCTATATATAGGAAATTGTATATTTTTTTGGTAAAAGATAAAATGTACCTATATGTTTACTTCTGTGCATTTATTCAGCCAGCTGATGCGTTAATCTGAAAACATACAATATATAATAAATACGATAAATATGATAACAACGCCGTTTTCAGATGAGATTTTTGTTTTTATACAAATTTTTTAATCACTAAATATACGTACAACTGCAATGTAAAGACATATATTAATATGTAAACATATACATATACAGGGTGTCTCAGAATTGGTGTAACATCTTTTGTAGACAGATAGAAGAAGTAAAACTGACAAGGGAACTTCGCAAATCTCATCACAATCTGATCTTACTGAAACTTTGTTTGCATTTAGATGACATAAACAAATGACTTTTCAAAATATCAGTTGATGCTAAAAAAAAAACGGTTTTAAGGGGTGAAATTATCCTTAACACCTATCAAGCGATTTTTAGCTTTTTTCATGATCTCAAAAACTATTGAAGATATAAAAAACTGTTTCATACAAAAGTTTTATAATAAAATTACCTCTATTTATCTATGTTAATAATATTAAAAAAAAAAAATTTAAGTAAAACCTTAAAACCGTTTTTAGCATCAACTGATATTTTTAAAAGTCATCTATTTATGCCATCTAAATGTACACACAGTTTCATTAAGATCAGATTGTGACACTTTGCGAGGTTTTCTTGTGAGTCCAAAAATCCCATACCATTTTGCTAGATTCGCAATAGTTACCGAGATCTTAATTAATATAGATTAGAGCGAATAAGCATGCATCGGGCTGTCTTACGCGCGTAAGACAACCGGGTGCGGTTCGCGTGCTTATGGTGTTATCCGTAGCAACATATGGGAGGAGCTAATATAACAGCATATACTGTAACATATACATATTAAAATGTAATCGTGCAAAGCGCGCCGGGCTGTCCTACGCGCGGAAGATAGCTCGATGCACGCTTATTCGCGGATCTTTTTTAATTAAGATTTCGGCAACTATTGCGAATCTAGCAAAATGGTATAGGACTTATCGACTCAGTTTTACTCTTTCTACCTGTCTGCGAGAGGTGTTGCACCAATTTTGGGACACCCGGTATATAGCATGTATAATGGATAGATATATATATATCTGGATATATATATCTTAAATTACAAAATTAACACGTAACAAAAAGAATGAAACTTGACGTAAAATATTGGCATATGCGCGCGTTAACATATCTCTTATACATGTAGTTTATTTTTTTTACAAGTTTTATATTAGCATATAATATACAAGTTTTATTTTGCATGTAATATAATAATATACAATCGGTCACAAAAATCTTCATACGTCAATGAAATTTATACTATTATAGAAATCATGAAATGTTCATGTTTCAACAACATTATGGATAGTAAAGTGTTTATATCATTGTGTTATAAATATTAAGGAAAAATCTACACTATTTATTACGTTTATTTGCGAGAAAATATTAAAAAATACAAGATATATATATAAGAATGATCATATAAGAATACATATAGATATTAAGAATGTTAAAAATGTTAAAATACTTATATTAGTCTTTTCTTGTTATCTTGATTTTTGTTACCACTAATGACGTTTGTTTGACGTAGATAAAATGATATTACGTTAAGTGTATGTGTGCGCGTGTTTTCAAAATGTAAAATTACATTATTTCTGTGAACAATTTTAAAGAAAATTGTTAGTGTTGTAATAGGTTATTGAGTGTGTGGAAAACAACCTACGTGAGTTTCCGACATAGGATGATCTCTTTGTGTGTGCAAATATGATTAATTATGCAAATTTGCACTGTAAAGGCTGTGCGAATGATCGCGCGCAAATTTTAAATATCTGCGAATTACGTGAATGCCGCGGAAACAAAGTTGAACGTGGTATCGTCGTAAGTTTTTACGTTAGTTTTTTAAATGGATATAAAACGTTAATTTTCGGTTCAAGCTTTTACAAGAGAAGGAATAAAGTGAAAGAAGATATAAAATGTAGAGTTGTATTAATAATGTATGATTATAAAAGTTACAGAAACAGAAAACTTCAGAGTTAACGAAGTTGAGTGTCGTTGATAGTAAACTTGTGAAGGAGACGTGATACGCGTCCCCGCACGAGAAGAAAAAGGCTGCATTTTGCAAACATCTATCGGGAGCCCGAAATTCCAAAACCATTGTAGAACGAGTTTTAATCAGGAGTATAACCGAAAATTCAGTGATCTAGGAACACAAAAAAAGAAACGTATTTCAGTGTCTTCTGTAATCTGTCAGAAAAGCGGAAGAGAGAATCGACGATGTTTTAGGCTGTTGAATAGACGTTGACTTTCACGTAACAAGTGCGAATTCTGGAGATTAGATTAATTTCTTGTCTCGGTCAAAGAAGATTTGAGAAAAGTATACGTTAAACTCTGAGAACGTCTTCTCGTTTGCGAGATAAGTAGCTTCTTCCTTTGTGCTTTCTATCAGAAGTTATTTTCTTTTTTTTATATATCATTACGAAATAGACGTAAATAATGATCTCAATTGACAAGTGATTAAAGATAGTGAATTCAGCGGATCTAAGGCACTTTTAGTCGAGTCATCCGCACACTTCTTTCCGAACATTCCATTGTGAGTAGAAACCCGCTTAAAACTGAATTTTTTTTTTTATGTTTACTTGGTCTAGTAGGTAGCTGTAGATTAGATTTCTCCCGAATTTCTCCAAAGAATTTAAACACATCACGGTACACTAAAAGAGATGTAATTAAACATTGAGATAAGAGTGAGTGAGAAAAGTAGATACTCACGTTCTATGGCCGTCCAGATGACTTGTATTTCTGCATTAAATATATAGAGGCGCGATTATTGATACAGCGGAAGATCTTTGAGTCTATTTATTGCAGTAAACTGCAAAACTAACCTTCGACGAGTCGTGAATATCGTGACGAAAGCCTTCCGCATGTCACGTGGTCAAAATTTCTTCGTGTGAAATCCTTAATAGCCTAGACTTTAGACGAAAGTTGAATTTCGTATCCAGAGGTGTGATATCGATCGGGCACTGTGTAAATCTGACGCTGAAATCGAAAGCAAGAAAGCTGGTACAAGTTTCAATTTGACCAAGAATGTTTCTTATTCCATAATAAGTATTCAAAGAGACTAAATTAATTTATTTCTCTCATCTTGCTCAGTTATCTGCTGTAGAAACTAGTTGAAAGGGTGGTTCGAGAGCTACTATTTTACATACATACCGTTTTATTAAGAGCTTCCATCTGAGGGTAACTGGCATCTCACTATTAATGTCGAGCGAGACAAGCGAGAATGATTTTTTGTTATGCTCAAAATTTCAAGACCAGCAAGTAGACAATTAATTTAGTCAGTTTTTCGGCGCGAGAGCAGTAACACTTTGCCAGTCTAGGACTACCTAATTAATTCCTTATAGAGACTATGACCCGAGAATAAAAGTGAGTTTCCTATCTGCTACTTGCAAGTGCTCCAACACGTTAATAAGAAACACGAGATAGAACTGTGCTACGGGTTTCGAAGACCCCGTGTTTTTTCCACGATAAACTATGTGATCAAGGAAGACTCCCAAAAATTTCAGTTGCCAACAAAGTTGAAGATTAAAACCTCGTAGACACAAACGCGTGTGCGTTGTTCGCAAATAATACATTTAGTATTCTATAGTAAGTTCAACGAGAAAGAGCAATAAGATGACTAATTAGGAAAAATTTATAAAATCTAGGTCAGGTCTTGAAAAAGGAAGATTATCAAGATCGGATAGAGCAATGTTTAATAATTGAGTTGCAATGGTTTGCAACGCCTCTCAGAGTGATCAAAACGATATAATGCCATATTGTCCGCGTATATCAGGATTTTAACTCGGAGAACATTAATGTTAGTGTTCTCTGATCTACAAAAAAAGATATAGAGCGTAAAAAGAACTGAGCTGAGAAACAGAGCTCTGAAAGAGATCTTTGACAGAGATACTAACGAAACTGCCAGCAAAATAATCTATCACAGATTGAGGTTTGAAATCACAGAACTAACGAAATTACTTTTCTTGCTTGGATATTCTATTTGTTCTAAGATATGTAGAAGAATGGGTCTCATATTGTCGAAAGCGCCAATAATGTCCAGAAATATAGTGTTATTTCGTCTGTTGTTTCGTCATTAGTGAGCTTAATACTACGTGAATATAAACAGTTATATCAGAAATCAATGATGTGACAATTATACTCGAGATCTACCATTCGATACATCTGTAAATAAGTTTCAAAGATTTTTAAAAGATTGTTTTGAAGGGTGAGTGTGAAATAGAGCGGAAAGAGTTTGCCCGAATTTAGGGACGAAAATAACGTAGTAGTATCTCCAACTGTTTAGGAATACATTCTTCTTAAACATCAAAGATCAATAAGTGTAAAGGACGGAAATTGAGAGATGATTTTTTTAGAAATCATTTTCGAACTACGAAACTTGACTTTCAGAAATGATAATACTGAGAAGTATTCGTTTTCAACGCAGTTTTCAATCCAATGTGATGCAGCGCGAACAAAAGTTTAGTTAATCATGTCTCATACGCTCACTGCCTTGTATTAATTAATAACCACTGCAAAAGTTTGCAATATGGTACGTGATTTTTCTCTGTTAAAATAGACTCAACCTATTTCACACACTTTGTGTCAAACAATTCCAGACACTGTATATAATAAAGCTATATATAATTGTATAATACACGTTTAGTCCATTATTAATAATTACTTTCATATGAGATAGGATATTTCTGCGTGGTAAAACATTTCTTTTTTTACAAAGACGTAAACATCGCGCTCATCTTTTATCTCGTAAATTTTATTCTTATCTTTATAAGACACTGTTTATCAAAAAATCAACATAAATAATTCGGTGATAGATAGATTTCTTATCAATCACAATGGTACAAAGTCGGAACTTGTTAAACTTCTTGTTTAATTATACATAAACTTATATATCACAGCCCAGATTTAAATTGCTAAACCTAGACAACCTTCTGTTAAAATGTGTCCAAATATTTCGGTTGTCATAGGTGAGAAGAAATACTGTCTAGGCTAGTGAACGCTGTAATTATTTTAAAATATAAACGATTTTTTAACTGAATTATTATGATAAACACGCAGGTCAAAATCAAACAATTTTATGAGATATGATTATTTAGGTGAATATTAATTATACGTTTGTTATCACATATATTCCAATCACCTGTAACAGCAAATATAATTTTTTAATTATCACAAAGTAACGGTATGTTTTATACAACACGTATGTTTTATATAATTTCTAATAGAGAGAAGCGATAATAACACTATTTGTCAAATAGTAATTAATAATTTAATAGCTAATTAACTCTTTAGTTGCAAAACATACATGTCATATATATGTCAAAAAGCAACTGTTTCGTTAAGAAAGACATATATAACACACTCTCGAAAATCGATCGGATAGACTCATACTCATTTGTACATACAGTAAAATTCCGGTAATTTTGAACGCGAATCTTTCTAGAATTCAAAATTATTATTATTTTTTTTTTTTTCCAATTAGCGACTGCTAACTGACAACAAGAGATAATATATCTTTTGTTCTTTGCTTGAAATTCTCTTTCTCTTGGACTCTTCGAGTAAGAATAGATGCGCGTTCTACGAGTTGCGCAGTCACTCAAGATCGGAAAATCATCACTAGTAGGGAAACCTATTGACTCGCCCACACATAAAGAAATCGAAATTAAAATGCTCGAAATTACCGTAGTTCTACTGTACGTATAATATTCACAGTATTCTTGTCATATATATACAGTAATATAGATTCAAATTGCTGTTAATTTCCATGATAGAACTGTTTTTTTCCCAACCATTTCTGATAAAACTATATAAAGAAGACTGAAAGCTGGTACTACGGAAAAGTTGGCATTACATGGTTTTTACATACAGGATATCTCTAAAGTCTGACCCAATCTTTGGATGGAAAAACGTCTCAGAAAAAAGTAAGATATTAGGGAAGACAGATGATAAAAATATGGATTTGACCTTGAGTGATCTTTTCAAGGACAGATCAATGTGATCGATGTTTTCCTAAATGGAACTTCCAATTTTTTATGGGATATTTTTGTAGTCCGTTGTCAAGACGTTTCCAAAACACTATCTTGTGTCTTTTGCATAAGCCATTTCCCTAAAATAGGAAGCTTTGAAGTTGACATATCGCCGATATTTTAATTCATCGTAATGTTAATTAATTCGCAAATGTACACAGCAGGAAGATTTCTCGGTCGGATTTGTACATCATCGGCTCTAAAAAGAGCCGATTTTACGTGTGTTTTTTCAATAAAAATTCTTTTTTTCTCTCTTTATCATTTTTTTTTCCTTCCCTTTACATTACAATAATTAGATATGTTTTCCCGTTACTGCAGAAGATGCTCAAAATAAAAATAAACGATGCTCATTTTGAGCATTTTTTTTGCAGTAACGGCAAAAAATATCTAATTATTGTAAGATAAAGGGAAAAAGAAGAAGAATAGTAAAGAAAAAAAAGAGAGATAATTTTGAGTGAAGAAACTTCGGAATGGATTACGCAAAAGACACAAGTAGGTAGTGTTTTGAAAATCTTTCGACAAAACTACAAAAATATCTCATACGAAATTAGAGGTTTCACTTAAGAAAACATCGATCACATTGACCTGGCCTTGTAAAGGTCATTCGATAGTTGAGTTCGTATTTTTATCATTTCAAAGTCGAGTCCATATTTTCATCGTCTCGTCACTCTCCCTATATATAATCGTACATATAATTGTAACTTTAAAACGCAAATTTTTTTAGGTTTTTGAGGAGAGCATTTATTGCTATTTATTGTGCTTGATAAATTCACTTATAGTATTCTCTATAATTTTCTATAAGAAGACTAAATTGTTTTTAACGACTAAAATAAAAGTACTTTTCGTTTATACTGTTGTCAGTTCTTTGTAACAATACTCACAGATTGGTTTCTTTTTTGTCTTCACCTTAGATATTGAGAAAGACCAAGAACACGTGATCAAAACGTAAATAAAGGTTAGTTATGTTTTATATTACCAGTTATATGTTTTTTAAACATACTTCACGTCTGATTTCGTATACAGATAGCCCTGGTATAACGCGGATATTCCGTTCCACAAAAATGCCGCGTTACATACATCGCGTTATATGAGGCACGCGTAATTGCACACAATGAAAAAACTCAAGACTCAATTTTACTGCAATTTGTAAATCGCGTTATATCGGAACCGCGTTAGACGAAAGTCTTACCCGTTCTTCTTTTTATCTCTTATTATAGACATTTTTTGTTTTTCAGAATTTTACGAAAATATATTTTGTAATATAAAAAGAAAAAAAGTAAATATGCGTTTTAGGTCACACCTCACCGCTTCAGATATGTTTGTAAGGCGGGTCATACCAAGTAATTATATATAAAAATTTTTTGGCAGACGGCTTTGATTTAGGAGATGTGACAATTTTTCAGAATTTTAATGCTTTTTAATCTAGATATTATGAGCTAATATTGCAGTAAAGTTTATGTATATATGTTGAACTGATGTGCTGAGAGGAATGTAAACAAAGCTACAAGGTAATTCAAATTGAATTACCTACGAGATCATTCATAAATTTGTCAAGAGTCCGTTTCACTATTTCTCGCAGTTTATCAAGAGCTCTAAACATGCGACTTCTTAACAAAACTATCTTTTTTATGTTTTTTTTGTTCGTGTTGTAAGCGTGTAGGCAGAGGAGGGCTTGGCCCCTCTGCACTCTCTCCCCTGAAAAAACCACGCGCACACTTTCGACGTGAAGCGACATTTAATCGCGGAAGTAGTTTCTTATTTCTTCATTGCATAGGTTCCGATGAAATGTCGCTTCATGTTGAAAGTGTGTACGTTGGTTTTTCGGAGGAAATGAAGGGGAAGAGGTAAAGCCACTCCCTTGCCGGGGTCGAAGCTTACTCCTTACCCAAACCAAAGGCATTTTCCACAAAAATTTTGTACGAAATTACTCAATACGATCTGCCCTGCAACATA